CGTACGGACTCGACTAAAATCCCTAATCAATGATGTGCCCTATATACAACTATAATTTCCGTTGAAGGTAGTAGTCTGTTTCTGACGACTCCCCCCTCAACAGCAAAATTTTGGCGAAAAACTAGAAATTTTTTGGGAAATGCCGAAAGAACTGTGTAGGAAGTTGGAAAATTCTTGGAAAAAGGTAGGTAGGATGGAGAGAGAGGGTCGTATTTTGCAGGAATCATCAATTCATCACAACGCGATGGCGTGCCCTGGTCACAGGGTAAGAGCATGTGCTAGCTGTAGTCGGGAAGGACGAAATCACGCCCCTTACAAGACCCCTCCATTTTCTAGCACTCCATCGTTCAGAGTTAAGAGCGCTCTCGCTCATAGTTTTGGGAAGAAAATGTGGCACGAGAGAGATGAGACGAAAGAGGATCGTTAGAGGACATACTCATTTCATGGCTAAAGTGTTGTCATGCTGTAATACCAGCCGTGTTGGTCTCAAGCAATTCTATGCTTTTATTCCCTCGTCACTTCTCCACTTTGAAGGTAGTTGGGCACGATAACTTGGTACTCTGCCTAAAATGGTAGCAATGGTGCTAAATAGTGGGGAGTGCCGACAAAGTGGAGCGTCAAAAATCTGCAAAAAAACCTTTGGTCTTCACTACTCAGAAAGCAATTTCGGAAGAGTTTACCGCTGTCATCGTGCCAATAAGCGCTTTGGTCGATATGACTGCTTGCGTACCCATATATCCATGTAGCACCGCAGTCGCTTCAAAACAATGCCTTCGCCTCATATTGTACATCGCAAATGAAGCGAAACAAGCATCAGGTACGGTCGTCCATTTGTGGGCGGGCGGGCGCATTGGGCGTCCGGGTCGGTATGTTCTAAGTCGATAGGGCGCTATAAGGGTACTTTCCTTGGAAAAGGCGCCACGGCACTTGCTCAGGGGCACCGAATTCAGTCCTGCTAGGCGTATTTGTCCGACACGTTTTGGAGATTCAGCGTGCAGACTGCCTTCAGCTTCCCTCAAAATTTGCTTTCAGTTTGTTCTCGAATAAATGTATGAATCATGAATCATTAGGGAATACTCCTTTATAAATGAGCAGAAACACGGAGCATGGTTCCTTTAGATAATACGCTCCATATCCCGGATATGGACTGGGCGTGGCTGCGTACTTCACTTTCACATTGCGCAGGATTCGTTTTTGTAGAATGTTTCCATTTGAAACGACTATCACTTTGTCTTGCTGCGTAAAGCGTGGTTGAAACCGTCCCAGAACGGTCCATCTCTGAGAAATAAAATGTGGAGTTGAAGGAGGAATACGGCTCCACCGTTGAAACTGCTGTTTGCTCTGTTCCTTCCTTTAATTGCCTGCTCCCTCGCCCGCGCGCCCAATGTCTCTTCACCCCCCACTCCTTTTTTTGTTTACCCAGTGCAGAAGTAAACTGAATTAGGAGTGCTTCATTCTGAGGGTTTTCTATGGTTTTTTATTTCTCTGCTTTATTTCTCTACATTTCCTTACTTTCGAGTACACACCTACATTTTTGCTTCCTGATAGAACTATTGTAATCGCGGAATATGCCTTCAGTTGCCCCGAGCTAGCTTCCTTTACCTTGTTCATTGTGGCCATTTCATCTTAGGCCACTTTATCACTGCTCCACTGTTTCAGTGAACTTCAAGCGTCAACGCAATGTGCTTATTCTGCTGGATGTTCGAAGGTGTTCATGGATGCGGCTGCTAGTGCATTTCAATTTATTTGCATGGACAGATTGTCAAGTACCCACAACCTGATTGTGACTTGTTTGTTGATGACTTCTATTTACTACTCTCCCTGGCGAGGCGCGTAGTCCACCATGTGCTTAACGAACCACAAAACATGTATAGCGTGATTTTCATGTTCTTGGAAGTCGCATCTCCTGTGACTACCTCACTACTTACCTAATTGTGCAGCACAGTATATACATGGGTTAACCGAACGTTCCTTGCCCCTGCCATTCGCCAAGAACTTTCTTTCTGTGCCAGACTGTAGATTTAGTACCGATTAATTTGAACTAATACCTGTATGCTTGCGAGATCATTCCTTTCACTGCTGCCGATCTCACATTAAGGAACGGTATACTCACATCCCATCCAGTGTCAATACTCTCCATATCACAGGGGTGGCCAAAAAAAGTCACTTGACCCATACCTCACCAATATCAGCATAAAGTTCTTGGCAGCGCAGACGTGCCCGAGTAGGGCCAGGCGGAAACGCATACCCCAACGACTGTTTCCCTCTATAACCGCGGCAGCCCGGCTCCCCGACCGCTCCCACACACTTCATGTACACCAAAATATGCAAGTTCTCCAGTCAGCAACCTGAGCTAGTAAGACCTTCGGAAACTCATGTCACACCTCCAAACTGTTCGCCGAAACTTTCTAGTATGGAGTTATCAGCCATGGATCACCAACCTGAGAGCCAGTACTCTCCATGTGGTAAACCTTCCATCATCACTAGCACGCTACGCGTCAACGCCGCTACATCTAGCACATTCATCTTCACATCACGTCCGCCGAGCGCGCGGAGTTGATGCGTATGGACCGGCGCGCTACCTCGCGAACTGCGGCAAGCACCGATATAATTTTCACTTGCCCCGACCTGAAGGGTGAGCGCCTCGAGGTTACAGCAAAGTAACTCTGAGAAGAAATAGACCTCCCCACATGTGGCTCGCCCGTCCTTCTTGAGAGCTTGGTGCTGCTTACAGGCTTCAGGTGCCACCACATAGAATTGAAGGTTTTTGAAATCCTCGGCGATTACTTTGCAAAGTATAGGGCTTGTTTCGTTACCTGAGAGAGATGTATCTTGGAAAGCGTCTGCCTCTGACCTCGAACCCACCTCAACCCGTACCTAGTTCCGCGCGGAACTGTTCAATAGGTGGTCTACGTGGCGCGAGGAAATCGCACTACCCCGCTGATCTCACGGTACCACTTCGGCGTCGGTGCATAATCTCTCGTGGCGTTTCGCCAAAAGGCTGCGGCGAAGATGTCCATGTATAGAGTCACTTAATATGCTCTTCAATATGGTAGTAAAAATGTCCGATCAGAATTTGATAAAGTGTAACTTATAGCGCCTCGAAAGTCAATGAAGAAAAAGTGATTTTTTTTGCCCCCCCCCTGTAGATGTCAATGACAAGGTCAGTCGGGTACAAAAGTGAGAGCGGAAGCGTAGTAGTTGCGTCACGCTGAAAGTTATTCTTGGTAGCTTGACACCTAAACATGCGAGGGTACCACTGCAAAGCTGAGCTTTGAGTAAGATGGTGTTGATGCGCTATTTGCAGACAATCGAATGTTTTAGGGATTCCTGAATCCATGGAGTGTGTGAAGGCGAACGCCTTAGATGTCCAACCCGAATGCGAAGCGCAATGTGAAGTCCAATCGCGTATGATTGACGACGCATCAAGTAATAAACTGGACACGGTATTCGAAGTTCCAAGATTATGCAAGTTCGTTCTCTTCTTCATAATCGTTTTGCACGCCAAATCAGCGGATTCCGGCTATTGCCATGTGTGAGACGAAATGAGTCCACAACTTGATGGCGTACCACTTTATATAGCTGAGAGATGTGCCAGCTGTAATACCGAAAACTAGTGGACTTATTGCAGGTTTCATATAGAGTTAGCTGCTGCTCAGCCAGCCTTGCACCTAACCGTGGTCAAGCGCACTAGCTGTCTGCTTGCTCTCACTTCTGGCTCTCTACAGCTGACCGTTTCGCTGTGGAATCTTGGTGTCGATGGGAGTACTGCACATTGAGGATCGCGCGGGTGGAACGTGGAAATGGCATCCGGAAATCACTACTCTCAAGGCTCGTTCCCGTGCATTTCTGAGCAGAGAAAGTGACAATGCTACTGCAGTTTCGGACCCATTCATCTCGTGTGGCAAGACCGTCCTGGAAATAAGTTAAGGCTGTCTTAGCGCTTCACATAAACAAACGCATAGTTATGTGCGTCCTCTTACTTGAAGTCTGTCTACAAGAGACTTCCTGATGGGTTCAGTGAACGTTGTTTATGTACGTAATCAATTCTCAAAGATTTCTTATTTTCCTGAGAAAATGTTGAGTGTATTCAAAAAACTTTTTCAGTAGGTGTTAGGGCATGTTTGCATGAAGTTCTCAAAGAATTTTTCCAGTGGTGGACATTTTCTTTTATTTTATTTTATTTTCTTCTATGAGACTCTTTCTTTTGTGTAACCTCTTGGCACGGTAGCTCGACCAGTAAGATAAAACAGGATTCTGCAGAAGTTTACCCCCCATTTGTGCAAGATGGCGTTAGTCACCCATCCCCGGATTTGTCTGCCCTGTCCACCGGCTTTGGGATTGAATACTTATGTGCTCAAGTTCTAGTAGAGACTAGGAGACTGTTCATCACTTACCCACTTGCTGGCGGAGAGCGTTTCCTAGGCAGTGTACTGCCTTTCATAACCCTTTGATCTGTTCATCCGCCAGGGCTCTACACGGTGCTTATTGACCTGTTTCAAGAACAAGATTGACAGTAAATGCCGAATTGGTGAGAAGAGTTTGCTGGACAGCTTGTTGTCGCCGGTATGCGTGATAGATTCGGTGGATCTTGAAAGTGCCTCTTGACTGGATCATGCCTGACGATTGTCGAGAAAAGGTGAGAGTTTCCGGCAGCGAGATGTAAGTAGGACAGAGATTCGAGACCTGCACGCTTGGCCTGATTACATACTTCCTGACAACACCATGAGCATCTTCCTGCCTGGATTTCTAGGGCGACCTCCACTATTCAACGTCCAGCGTGCTGAATGTATCCCTGAACGCAATTTCGCAATACAGGGTTCAGACATCGTGGATGGTCGTGAAAAGATTGCGCTCCATGTGCGAACAGTTCCCCCTTTCCCAGCCACCTACCTACCACTTTTCCTCAGGCGCAGTTTGTCGACGGGGGCATTTTGAGCTTTGGCTACTTCCCTTCGTGGCGGCCTATCTAGACAGCCTCTTCTCGAGTTGACAGGTTTAAACATTATTGCTAGACTGCCTTGTTCCAGCTTCACAAGAGTTAGCAGGTTTCGCCAGAGGAGACATGTAAACAGGGAACAGCAGGCAAGGCAATGATCCTTACACAATGCCCCTCGTCGACATAACCCAGCGCCCTTTCCTCATTTTCTCTACGAAGTTCCTCGCACTTTTCCAGTTTCTCTCACTCAAAGATTTTCTCGTCTAGGGGAGGGGGAGGGATGGGGAGTATATAGCCAATGTGAAACGGAAAATTTTCCCATTGTGGCAAAGTTCTCTCAAAGGCACATAAGACTCCTCTCTATATCTAAACGACCAAATTTGACCCATCCCTCCTCAGCGCTCAAGTACGACCCATCTATTCGTTTCACACAACGATGCTGTACATGTTGACATGCTGTACCCTGATTTCCAAACCGCATACCATTCATTGGTGGGGAAAGATGATAGTCCGGCCCATTCCTAAATATTGGGTGGTCTTGAACGTGTCAGGTTCCGATGTTGTATTCAACATCCAGCTAATTCTACTCTGACTGCAGTTCCTTCCCAGGCCTCGCATTTCGAATTCCTCTGTTCCGCTGTCTGTTGGGAAGGTAAATAACCATGTTAGTTCCGCCTTTACCCTTTTCAATTGGCTCTTTTCCACATTCAGGCTCCTTCTCGTACATCCAACGGCAGCAAGACCACATCTGGGAGGCAGGCAATTCCTGTACTCGGACCAAGATCTAGGCCAGAGCATCAGCTGCCAGCTCACGCTCTACAGCAATGTGAGATAGGCAAAGCGCATCGTGAGGCAAGGAGCGATTCTTGGACCAGCTCGCGACTTCCGCCAGCACCAAAACCGCCGAGAAATGCAGACGAACCTGTGGAAGCGGCTATGATCATCGATGGCGAGGTAAGAAAAACTGCCATTTATAGGCCTCATGCCCTTGTTCCCGATTTCCGATGCAATTCGTGTGCCTTATGTGGGCTGAAGACTGTTAATCACTTTGTTTAATCCCATCCGAATTCTAGATACGGACTCTCCGCTACCAACTACTTGACTGGCAAGGAAATCCTGTAGCGCCGCCGGATTTCGAAACTCTTGCGAAGATTATGACTGTAATGTTCTGAGGTTTTCAGTTTCTAGTAGCCTTTTCCTGAAAATGTGTTTTACAGCTACAACTCCTTCCCTTCAAGTTCACGTCTGGGCGACCTCTTGAGAATGTTGTGCTCCCGTCGGAGGAAGACGAGAGAGCCGCTGAGAAGCGAGTCGGAGCGGGGTGGAAAAGAAGTTAGGTCTTCGATCGTACAATAAACTGGTGACGTCGGAATGACTACTCGCCTTCAGATTCGCCAAGGAGATGACGACGGCGGAAAGATGAGGCGAACAGGCGACGAGGAATTGGCAGTTCGAGGACGGTCCAGAAATCGTTTCCAATGATGGTATTGGCGTCGCCATAGGCCTGATTGTCTTTGCCGCCACGGTATTCTACTGGGCTTGGGAGACCGCTCGCGATATCGCGTGAATCTTCTCAGTTGTGATTAACTCTGTATGATTGACTGTGATATGATCTAAATTTTTCTTCCTTTGTCTAAGGTCTGTGGAACATCCCTTAATAACGCATAAAGTATACACTTACCCGATAGCTGTGTATAAAGCGGCAGTGTTATGCCAATCATGTGAGTAAGTGATAAAGTATCACACTCTTAATTCTTTTCGAATAGTTACCACAGTCCTGAGCTCCATCAGGGTAAAAACCAAAAAAAATGTTATTAGCTTTGCATGAGAACATGACTTCACAAGACGTGCGGCTGGACCAGATTAGAAGACGCTTCACACCAGGTGAAGCGGTTCGCCATAGCAATGGATGTCCCAGTCGTGGCTCGTTACTGCTTGATCCAGAGGCAGGGCTTTGTCGCGCTTTATCGTCTCCGCCCATTCATTTGTGATCTCCGCCCTAACAATGTCATTCAACCATCGCTGTGCAGCTACGGGAACTCCATCATTTTCTTCATCCTAGCAGATCACTTCACGTTTCCTCTTAAGAGACTGCGTGTTGTTTCGCCTGTAATTGCTACAGTGCTTGTGATCGGAAGGGTTGGACACTTATTTACGCGTTTTAGCCATTTCACTGCTTTTCCTCCATCGACTTACTCAGTGTCGCCTGTCATTGAGGCAAATGCGGTCCTGATCCTTGTCGCGTGCGACGTGAATGGGCTCAAAGCTGGCAAGAATTCATTGCTACCTTCTGCCGCTCATCCACTGCTAGCAAAAGAGGCTGAAGGGTGGCGGTGCCCCCGGCACCGAGACCATGCTCCGCCTCGCGCTGCCGCGCGGCTTGCTACGCGCCCACCCAGCCAAGCTTGCACCAGTTTGTGAAAAGGCATTGCCTCTCTGGCAGACGGCACTTCAACCTTGCACACACGAGAACGACCCGTCCTCGCAGTTTAAAAGGTAACAGTGGCTAATGAATGAGTAATAAATTCTTCAGAATCACAATTGAATTCCAACCGGTGGCGTAGAATCCCATGCACTACTCCGAGCGAGCAGAGATGTGCGTGTGAAAGACATGGCCAAATGAACTCGGCAAACTTCTAATTTCTTGAATGCATACATAAGACGCTGGTGCATATATAATATGCTGGTCTCCACGTAAGGCCAGGCTTCATTTGCCAAAGAACATGACAAAGACATCATTTACTACAAGATCCAGAGTGTTCCTCTCAAAAAAAAACTGGGGGGCCGGAGGGTACCTAGGAGCTATAGCGTGGAGAGCCCGGCTCTCCCATGTGTAGGTCCTTGTGGTATGAGAAAATATACCACTGCAATTTGCAGCTGTAGCAAAAAAACAATCAGTGGAATACGGCCATTTCTATAACGTTGTCTGTCGATAAACCTGAGGCTAGCAAAAAGGATGTGGTGCAGTGGTAGATGGAAGGTTTACGACGCTTGCTGGGTTCAAATCCCGGGTCGACAGGCCAACCAAGCCTTCTATCCTCCGGAGACGATAGATATCAAACTTATCCAAGGATCACACTGACTTTTACATTGGCTATCCTGCAAGTCATTGAATGGGACACATCGCATTCAATGAGCCGCTTCTGAATGGAGTAGAATGCGTGCCGCATCCCGCAAAGCAATTGATTAACGGTGAAGATCCTATACCCTTCATCTTTTCTAACACCACTACAGAACATTACATAAGGTATGATCCCGCACTCAGCTAATTTGTATTCATCGTCGCTCACCGCTGCACTAGTACCGCCCCATGAGTCCAAAATTTCCCCTCTTTTTGCCACTTTCTCTCTACACGTTGAACCTTGCCGGAAACAGTCGGTTACCAGTTCTATTAGTCACGCGAACTACTCCAAAATTCCATTGAAGTGACTAGGCAGCATAGGGCGTCAACCGACGCCTTGATTTGTTATTTTGGCGTTGTGAAAAATGGAAATGGTGCTCTATGTATTTACAGGTTTTTCTCTTTCTGCAAACGCCTCGTGCAGTCCGCTGTTGTAAACTACAGATGGTGCGGTCAACTCATTTCAATGTTCTTACCAGATTATTACCACGTAAACGTTGTTAAGTAATATTAAAGTACAAATCTCATCACAACGTTCAGTCACATTATTTCGTTACAATACAGTCTGCAATTATTAGAATTTCAATCGGCAAAAAAGTGAAAGAAACTGACGGTCCTGGATAGTGTCTCATCTCTCTCTTGTTTTTTAAACGTATACAGGGGGGCCATAAAAAAAGACTTTTTTCTTCCTCCGCCTTTCGAGAACGCTCATAACTATTCTCCAGCTTCTCTCTTCTTGCAACCTCGGCATCTTAGTTGTAAGTCTTTCAGTTGTTGTGTGCCTTACGAGGTTGATAGGTGGAACAATTTATTAATGGCCTAACGTTTCGACCCAATCGTCGTCTTCAGAATCTGAAGACGACGATTGGGTCGAAACGTTAGGCCATTAATAAATTGTTCCACCTATCAACCTCGTTAGGCACACAACAACTGAAAGCAGCGAAGTCTACACTTTATTAAATTCTTATCGGACATTTCTACCACCATATTAAAGAGCATATTAAATACTATCATGATACTCCGCCACAGCCTTCTGGAGGAGCGCCATCGAGAGATTCTGCCACGCGACCGTCAGTGGGTGCGTGAGTTCAGCGAGATCGTTGATTTCTCCGCCACTGTAGACCACCCTATTGAACTCCGCCCGAGCCAGGTAATTGAGGGGGTTTAGGTCAGGTTACCTGCTTAGATATTCCACCTTCCTCAGGTACTCAGCCCCCTTCCTTTCCAAGTAGGCGAGAGTTTCTCCAACGCCTTCGATTCCATGTGGTGGCACCCAATGCTGTAGCAGTACAAAGTTTCCAAGAAGGTACGGGCGACCACATGTGAGGAGGATATTCTTCACGAGTTGCCCAATGTAACCGCCAGCGCTCACCTTCAGTCCGGGGTCCACGAAGAAAATATTGGTCTTTCCATTCCAGGTACGTCCGGTCCATACCATCAACTGCGCCTTGGCGACTGAGGTGAAGATGATGTCCTGGACCGTAGCGACGTTGGCGGAGCTGCTTGATGTTAGGGGTCTTCCAGATCGATAGTACTGATCTCCAGGTA